TTTTGGCTGCTTCCCTGTGTTGATAGAGTGGCTTTCTGTGCTAGGTGTCCTATAGGGCCCCAGTGGCTCATCCTCCCCGTTACCTGGGGTGGACACTCTTGGTTCACTCCTTTGTGGGCTGTATGCACAGTCTTGTTGTAGTCCATATGAGTTTGGGTTCCCAGAGACTCGCCCAGAACTGGTGTTCAGAGCAGTTGCGAGTTTGAGATTCCCTCCCTATTGAAAAAGACAAACGAGTCCTCAGTTGCCAGCCCTTTCTGTTCAGCCATCCGTACCTCTGCACTTTACTTATGCACCTCCTCTGAGTCTCACTGTGCTTTTCTCTTTCCTTTCTTGTTGTAGAATTTCCACTCAGCCAGCTTTCCTGTGGTTCTGGATAATGTCCGTTTTGTCTTTTAGTTGTATTTTTGAAGTGGTTGTGCAAGGCAGCATTTACCTTGTTTACCTATGCCGCCATCTTGGTTTCTCCCTATAGTTATCTTAAAAGTCTTTTAGCCATCATCCAATGATATTGCTGTGCAACAAAAAATAGGTACATATATTAAAATTTTAAATTGAAATCTCTAGGCATATAAACCTAAGTATTAATATTTTTTATCAATGAAAAATGAATTAAATCATTAACTCTTTGATTAAATTATCACAATGTATTACACATTTTAATTAATAATATGTGAAAAGTAGAATTTTATAGAACTATCTCATTTAATGTTATAGAAAGTAATTTTAAAAACAGCTCATGAATCTCAAGATGAATATTACTTTTTGCTAGAGTAGGCCAGTTTTTGTTTCTTCCTTTTTCAATTTTATTGATGTAAATGTTGAGAAAACGGTGGGGTCCAACCCCAGCAGGTCCAGGGGTTCCCAAAGGTGTGGACGGAGTTGGCAAAGAAGGAATGACACTGAGACATTTTCAGTTGATCAGCAGCTTAGCCAAGTTCTCTAGCCAGGTTCTAGCCAGGTTCAACAGCCAAGTTGGGTCTTTTTTGTCCTGTTACATCTGTATTTATACCAGTTGATTTTAATCCTATCCATTCTATTCCAAATGTTAGGGCGTTTGTTAATCTAGTTCTGTTGAGTTTAATCCTGTCTAGGTTAATCTCTGTGTTTCATTATAAGGGCTATTTTAAGGTTCCTGCTCTACTGATAAGCTACAAGGAAGTGACTGAAGGAGATTATCATACCCAGTAAAGGTTATGTCCTCCCAGCCTCGCTGCTTGCCTTCCCGGGGACTTCCCTTTGTTGGTGAGTCTCTAGGGGTATAGGCTTTGGTGCTTTCTCTGGTGGGCATACCCCTGGGGATGTGGGCCCAACAAGTCCCAAATTTATTGCCAACAGTCTTAGTCCAAGTTCTTCATAAGTAGTACATGGTATTTTTGTAACACTAGGGGGTTTTACTGATTTATTCTCTTCCTTAGTCCTGTTAATCCCTCACTCCAGGGAAAAAATCCTCACCTGGGGAAATAGCCTTACTTGGGGAGGTGGTCTTGTTTAAAACACATAGCGCTAAGTGGGGGAGCAAACATATTAAGAATAGTATGCCATATACGCCAAGTCCCTTGAAACATATGTTGTGCAGATGTTTCTTCCCTGCAGTGACTGTGTCAAGCAGCAAGGATGGACCGGCTTCCAGCAGAAAACTGGTTAACGTCAAAACTGAGATAAAAATAGAAGTTTTGTTTAATGCTGTCTCTCCATTATTTTGAACTCTGGGAATTTCATGCTAAAAATTATATAGAAATCTGTATTCATTTCCTAGGCCTACTGTTAGAAAGTAATGCAAACTGGGTGACCTAAAACAACACACATTTTTTTGTCCTAAATCAAGTTGAAAAAGAAAAGAAAAGAAAAAAGACGTTCTCTCTGTCATTAAAAAAATTATTTTAAGGACCCATCAGTTGACATCCTAGTTGGGTCTTCCTTTAGTTTTTGTTGAAAATAAAGGATTGAAGAAAGTTGCTATTGTAAGCAATAATATAAATGGAGCCACTTTATTTTTGTATTGATTTTAGAGAGGTAATAAAGGAGAGAGAAAGAGAGAGAGAGAGAGAGAGAGAGAGAGAGAGAGAGAGAGACATCATTCGGTTGCCTCTTGTACACAAGCCTGGGGCATCAAACTCACAACCTGGGTATGTGCCGAGACAGGGAATTGAAAATGCAACCTTCTGTTGCACAGGACGATGCTCCAACCAACTGGGCAACACCAGCTAGGGCTAAATGGAGCCACTTTAAAATGGAGACGGAGCTACCATCCCAGAGGAACTGCCACACACGTTTTATGACTCAAAGTTTGGAATGTTAAAACAGATAATCAGTACAAAATAAATTTTGGAGTTGGCCTAAAGCAACATCATATTGAAAAGAACTGTTTACAAAGATAATAAGAAGACAGTTATTACAACTCGACTGAGAATATCTGATTGAAATGAAAACCATTTTTTAGAATTAGCATCACGGGCTGGCTTTAGCTCAGTGGTTCCTTTGCATACAAATAATTAGCATCATTATGTTAGCATATCTTGATCAACAGAAGTGCCTTGCTTCTATAAAAGTAATTGTTCCCCTTCCCTTCTCATAAATACAACTTGCCTTTGTCTCCTAATTGGAACACTATTTGGGCTTCTGCCTGAATTAGTACATCTCAATTAGTGATGTGAAATAAGTGCTTGGTGCCTCTCACTTTGAAAGGCCTTTTAAGTTAGCACTATCCAGTCATAGAGTCATTCATTTATGTTAAACTGACACCAGTATTTCAGATTGTTATTTTGATAGACATCATGCCTACTTTGTTTTTACAGTAAGAGAAGCGTCCATGTGAAAAGGGCAGCTTTGTCCAGGTCAGATGGCTCAGTTGGAGCGTCTGGTTTGATCCTAGTCAGGCACAGGCGGGTTTGATCCTTGGTTGGGGCACCATAGACAAGGCAACCAATTGGTGTTTCTCTCACATTGATGTCTCTTTCTCTCTATCTCCACCTTGCTCTCTTTCACTCTAAAAAAAAAAAGCGGGGGGTCGCAGGGGGTGGGCAAGTTTACCACAAAAGCACAACTGAGGATCTGGAAATTGATTACAGTCTTGCACCACTTAATCATGGACACCTTCTGAGAGATGCCCTGTTAGGCAATTTGGGTTTTGTAGGAACATCACAGAGTGCACTTACACAAACCTAGATGGTATAGCCTGCTGCACACCTAGGCATTGTCCCACAACATTAAGACGTATCTTGGTGATAATGATTCATTATAATCTTATGCAACTACTGAAAAAGAAAAGTCATTATGTGGCTCATGACTACACAAACAGTAGCTTAGCAATTAAAGCATTACTCCTTTCTTGGAATAAAATATTTTTTAAAAAGTGTTTTGGGGCCCTGACCGGTTTGGCTCAGTCGATAGAGCGTTGACCTGCGGACTGAAGGGTCCCAGGTTCGATTCCCGTCAAGGGCATGTACCTTGGTTGCGGGCACATCCCCGGTAGGAGGTGTGCAGGAGGCAGCTGATTGATGTTTCTCTCTCATCGATGTTTCTGGCTCTCTATCCTTCTCCCTTCCTCTCTGTAAAAAAATCAATAAAATATATTTTTAAAAAAAAGAGTTTTGGATTAAAAAGCAATAATGTGCAAATGACTTCCTATTATTAGAATTAGATATTAAGGACAAGATAACAGAATGACTTTGATGGTGATTGTAATATGATATTGTCCATGATTGACATAATTGAAATAATTTGTGGTACCTTTGATGAAAGAACATCCAGCCTAAGAAAAAGTCTTAAAAGCATTTATTTGAGCCAAATTTATAACAATTGCTGGGAAGCAAAATTTCAGCAAATTGAAAGAAATGCTCCCAAGAATGTCAGTTTTACAGCTTATTTTATTTTATTGATTTTGATAGAGAGGAAGAGAGAGGGATAGAGAGAAATACCAATCAGCTTCCTCCTGCACATCCCCAGTGGGGGACCGAGCCCACAATAAAGGTACATGCCCTTGGCTGGAATTGAACCCATGACCCCTCAGTCTGCAGGCTGATGCTCTATCCCAGTGGTTGGCAAACCGCGGCTGTTTGGTCCCTTGAGTGTGGCTCTTCCACAAAATACCACGTGCGGGCACGCATGTACAGTGCGATTGAAACTTCGTGGCCCATGTGCAGAAGTTGGTTTTCGGCCTTGGCAAGTCTATTTTGAAGAAGTGGTGTTAGAAGAAGTGGGTGGTGTCGGTAGGTCGGGAGACTGGAGACGAGGCGCAGGTGGGCCGTGGGATACACAGCGCTGGGGAGGTACATTGTTTTGAAGTACGTTCTCTGAGGTCGACCCCTTCCAACTCTGCCATCCACACTCGTCTTGTATACTTGTTTCACATAGACGAGTGTAGATGGCAGAGTTGGAAGGGGTCGACCTCAGCGAATGTACCTCAATCAGATTGAGGACATTTTTAGCAAAGGCCAGCTTAGGAGTACCCTAATTCAGTTAATAACAATGAACCTACCTATATGGTTTAAGTTTAAAAAATTTGGCTCTCAAAAGAAATTTCAATCGTACTGTTGATATTTGGCTCTGTTGACTAATGAGTTTGCCGACCGGCATGTACCTGGGTTTCAGGCACATCCCCAGCGGGAGATGTGCAGGAGGCAGCTGGTCGATGTTTCTCTCTCATATCGATGTTTCTAACTCTATCTCTCTCCCTTCCTCTCTGTGAAAAATCAATAAAATATATTTTTAAAAAAATGCCATTTGACAAAGAAAAATCAACCAAAAAAATGAGTTCGCGTGTCACCTCTGACATGCGTGTCATAGGTTCACCATCACTGCATTAGAACCTAAGGAGGAGATGTAAGAAGGATTACATGAAATTCAATGCTGGTAGATTAGGGAGGCAGGAGAAAGCAAAGTGGGGAAATCCCAGAGATTGGATAAAAAGTAAACAAAGAGACATGTACTTTGTTTACATTGATAGTTAACATTTATAGCACATATAGATGGTATGTAGGGAACAACATAACAATGTGGTTTTGTGCTCTGGTGCCCGTGATTGGCTTTTGGAGGGGTCTGGAAAATAAATTACTCTGATATTTCAAAGGTGTGTTATCTTAGATCCGTGATGGCGAACCTATGACACGCGTGTCAGAGGTGACACGTGAACTCATTTTTTTGGTTGATTTTTCTTTGTTAAATGGCATTTAAATATATAAAATAAATATCAAAAATATAAGTCTTTGTTTTACTATGGTTGCTAATAGCAAAAAATTTCTATATGTGACACGGCACCAGAGTTAAGTTAGGATTTTTCAAAATGCTGACACACTGAGCTCAAAAGGTTCGCCATCACTGTCTTAGATGCACAAAGACAATAGATAATTTCAAAGTTAAAGACTGACTTTTCACAAGGAAGCTACAGGTTTAGGACATGTCTTCTCACCATGGCTCACTTTTAGTTAGGAATGTTTACATTCAGTCCACCCTTGTGTGGTAACTTTTAGTCTCTGGTTTTGGCCTCCTCTAAGCTTGTTTAGTATGTAGCCCCCTTTTTTGTCCACAGTACAGTTGATATTATGTAGTCTTGAAAAAGAATGGGGTATATCTCTGCTTATTGATGTGGACTCAGCTTTAAGACATACTGTTGAATGAAAAAAAAATCAAGTTGCAGGAAAATATATACTTATACATGAAAAAATGTTTCTGTAAAGAGTTACAAGAAACTGGTAACTGGTTGCCTCTGGGAGGCTGACTGGAAGGCTGGAGGAATGTGGTGAGGAAGACTTACTTTCACAGTGAATTGTCTTTCTCTTTTCTCCTTTTTCAAGGCAATCACCTCTCCTTCCAAGTACATATCTTGCAATTTGAAAAAAAATTAACCGAAAAACACATAAAAAAAGAACAAAATAAAAGAACACAAAGGTTATTCACTAATGTTGTTGTGGCAGAATGCACATGAGGACAATCAGCCAGCACTCTGAGGGAGGAAATTTTAACCTTTATTTCGCAGATCTGTTAGTCCAGGAGAATTCCAGATCCAAAGCCTGAACTCAACTTGTGGGGAGGCTCTGACCTATGCATCTCCTCCTGTGACGGGCCCCTGAGGGTCCCCACAGCTCTGCCCAAGTCAGTCTTAGTGGGACCTAGGGGTTAGGCTCTGCAGCTCTGCCTGTCAGTCAGAGTGGAGAAGTAAGACTCCAGTTTTAACCAGATACTGAGCTAGGTTGCAAGCCCCCTGCCCCCATTTTCCTTTTCAATGTTATAAAAAACTACTATGGAATTATATGAAAATAATTAAATTAAAAAACAGAATTTAGCTTTGAAATTAGTTGCAAACAATCAACAATTATTTATGTTGTACTTAGAACATTAAAATTAACATATTCCTACCAGTTGTTTTTCTAAGTTTGTGTGTGTGGGGGTGGGCAGGGGAGTAAAAAGCATTAATAAGTAAAGTGCTCAATAATGTTTTGCTGAGAGAAACCAAGATGGCGGCATAGGTAAACACTGGAGTTTGCTGCCTCACACAACCACTTCAAAAATACAACTAAAAGACTCGCCGAAACCGGTTTGGCTCAGTGGATAGAGCGTCGGCCTGCGGACTGAAAGGTCCCAGGTTCGATAAAAAAGAACGGACATCACCCAGAACCACAGGAAGGCTGGCTGAGTAGAAATTCTACAACTAGAAGGAAAGAGAAAAGCATACCAAGACTCAGAGGAGGTGCGGTGCAGAAGTAAAATACTAAGGCACAGAGGCACACGCGGAGTGGGCTGGTGGCTGAGGGTGCGGTTGTCTTTTTCAATCGGGAGGGATTCTCAGGCTCTGAGCTCCAGTTCCGGGAGAGTCTCTGGGAACCTAGACTCATACGGGAGAAACAGGACTGTCTGGCATCAGTCGGAACTCGAGGGCTGCTTTCTCTTGGAGGTACTTGCCGCAATTGCTGGGACACTGAGAAGCGGGGCCTATGAAGGCAGGACTGAGAGCAGCCATAACTGCTTGCTCTGCCCACCCTGTTGATCCCCTCGGACCCGCCCCACCCAAGCCTTGCACAGAGGCTTTTGCTGGATAGCCTCAGGCAGAGGCTAGATTAGCACGTCCCTAGAGCTTTAGGAAAGAAGTTCTCCCACTGCAGACACAGCTGATTCTCACAGCCAATTGGCCTGGAGGCCAATCCCTCCCAGTGTTACAACAATCAAGGCTTAACTACAACAAGACTGTGCACAAAGACCACAAGGGGGTGCACCAAGAGTGTCCTCCTCAGGTAATTGGGGAGGCTGAACCACTGGG